ATATATATATATATATATATATATATATATATATATATATATATATACTGCATTTTCTTTGCTGTTGACAACCTTTATATTTGCAATTAATTTGATATTTTTTCTGATGAAATTCAGACATTTTTCAAATTTTTATTACACCAGTCAAAAACCAGACGTGTCACGGTGTAGTCTCCGTTTGTCCATCGGTCCATACATACACCCTTACGTCGTTAAACTTTCTCTTGTCCAGGCCATAACTTCTGATCCGCTCAAGATAATTTAATGAATTATTATCCACTTGTGCATAATCACTGGACGGAGTGTCGCATACAGCTTTCATCAACCCAGCTCCAAGGTCGCGGTCACAAATCAAGGTCAAAGTTAAAACAAGGGCATTGCTTGTCCGGACCGTAATGTCTTGTCTATCCATCCATTATCTTTACTCGCTTCTTCCTTTTTGTGTCATGGGGGTCACCGGTGCCCATGTCCAGCAGTCACTGTGCGAGAGACAGGTAACATCCTGGACAGGTCTCGAGTCCATCACAGGGACACACAGAGACAAACAACCATTCACTCTCTCACTCACACCAAGGGACAATTTAGAGTTACCATTCATCCTAACATGCATGTTTTTAGTCTGTGGGAGGAAACTGGAGTACATGAACAGAGAGAACGTGCAAACTCCACCCAGAAAGGCCCCCTGGCCGGGATTCGAACCGGAGATTTTCTTGCTGCGAAGCAGCAGCTCTAACTGCGGCCCATGCTGCTTAACATCTTATCCTCTCAAGAGATTTTAACGAAACCAATACAAATTTGTGCCTCCACTAAATGGCGTCACATAATCTTTTCTTCACCCCAGCTCCAATGTCAAGGTCACAAATCAAGGTCAATGTTATAAAAGTTTTGCTTGCCCGAGCCATTGCTATAGATTATTGTACAATAGTTTTTGGATTGGCGTGTAATGTATGCCGTGCTCTTGTTTTCATAGGCTCACCAACTGGCCCACATGCATGCACAGGCATGCAACGGAGGAGTTACTTCACCAAACAACCATACAAATGAGGAGGAGGAGGAAGAAGAGGATGAATATGACTATGACTATGAGTCTCTGTCAGATGGTGAGGACGGGTTTAAGATTTAAAACTGGGAACTAACTCCAAAGCTCAAGTCCAACAAGATTTCTGTACATTTTTAAGCTAATTACTCCTACTGTACACTTTTACTTTGGTTTCTTTAAACTGCTTTCTTTTTACTACTTTATTCTGTCTCTCTGTTTAACAGTTGGGTGTCTTTTTTGTTTTTATTCTTATTCTTTTCCATTTCAATTTTTTTTCTCACCTGTTTTCCAATTAGCTGATGTCCTCACAGCCTCCACTGCCTCATATGGCCTTGAAGGTAAAGTCCTGATGTGCCTCACCAAACTCTATAGAGTTTCCTTCCTATTGTGCAGTGGTATAGTTGCAAAAATTAACATATTGATCCTAATAATTGGTAATTGGTCCAGACTAATCTGCTGGACTTATATAAAACACTGCAGAACAGCTTCAGAGGAAACTGGAACAAAGAAGTGCGTTGTTGCTGTTTCATATGCTTGCTGTCTGCTTTTGTTGCATGAGAATCATGTCTCCATTTGATTTGAATGAGAAGTATTTTCATGACTTTTGCAGTTTGACAGAAACTAGACTGCTGATGCAACTTTGATGGCATGAATGAACAACACTCGGTCTAAAAAAGCAATGAAGTGCGTTAACAGAACGATAACTTATTGTCAACGTCTGACGTCATGTTTCGGTGATATCAGAAGTGTTTGTCAGGTTCTGTGTGTTTGTCTGTCACTGTTGTCGAGCGTGTTAAACATCAGTGATTCAGCGCAGCCACTAGTCAAATTTGCAGCTACTTTATCTCAGCTTCCCTCACGCTGAACATTTAACGGAACCTGATCTTGTGGGGTGAGATTTGTGTGTTTGTTGTGCTCCATGTGGAACTGACTCCTCATTAAACCAGCTGTCTAAACTCAGTGCAGGATGTGGAGCTACATGTGCATTGATTATTCTTAAAACAAAACACTAGCATTAAATTAGGAAGTAAATGTTTCTAAAAGTTACGTTTAATCAGCGGTAAAACAATTTACTGTACGCGCAACTCATTTCTCCCACAAAGACACATCCCCCCGCTTCTTCCCGCCGTACTGTATTTGTCTGTGACCTCGCCAGTGACTGGGCAGGCTCATCAGGGAAACAAAACAAAGCCATCTGGTTTCTCAGGCCCTGCGCTGCCCCGGCAGTGAACAACAGACCAGGGGAAACTACCCTGTCCTGGTCCCAGTCCCAGCTTTGCCCTCTTGTCTAACAAACAGTTCTTGACCTTTAAAAAAATGCACATCTTAACGCCTCCAGTCTGCAGCTTGAACAAAATAGGTTGAAATTGTATTCACTGTGTATATATGTTTAGTATTTACAATTAGTTTACAAAAACTTGAGTATTAAGTGGTCAAGCTGAAATCTGTGGATGAACAGTAACTCCCTCCAGTCTCTCTGTCTCCAGTGGCTGTCTGCAGCAAGACATTAAAGGTCAACCCTATTGCTAAACCGGTTTTAAAAGAAGGCCAAAGATTTCAGATGCCAAGTTTTCCTTGCTGTTTGGTGGGCTTGGAGTAAATGTGGAGGAGGAGGAAGAGAAGCAAGAACTCCTGACGGCTGCTTCTGTTTACTGTTGAGATATATTTCTTTGAATGTTTCTAAGAGGTCATCTTTGTGGGCTTTTGTTTCAGCGATGCTTAAGGATTTGAACTTGTTCGCATAGTCTTATTGTCTTTTATGAATGGTCCTCTAATCATTTACACCAGTCCAAATGTTTTCCTCCCATCTGTAATGGATGCCAAACAAATGAGCATGAAATAGGAATACATTTTAAAAAGCCTTAAAGACGCAGATGCATTGAAATAGTTTTTATTTACAGTTCATAGAGATGTGGAGTTTCTGGTTTCTGCCCAGATGTGAGCTTTTGATCATTTTTTACAACTACATCTCTGTTATTTGGTAATCCACACTCAGGTTTGTGGTCATGCCAGTCCAGTTGGTTTGTGTTGCATCTTGCCAGCGTAACAATTGCTCAAATCTGCAGTAAACTCTGTAGAGTTTACAAATGCTGTTTGGTATGAAAAGTTCTGGGTTTCAGCAACTTTTTTTCCTTCAACATTCTGTTTTATTTTACAGATAACATCCTGGATGATAAGCCTGATGTCAAAGGTCCAGCAGACAAAGAAGAACAGCCTACTGATGAAATACCTAAAAGAATGAAGAAGGCTGACAATATGATGCAGAGTAAAGGAAAGGTATGACCCTTAACTAGTATATTGACCTAATCCCATCAATTAGAGAAACTATTTACTTGTTTGTTAGTTTTCTCATAGTTCCATTTAAGTTTTTATTGGTTAGGGATGAAGACGTGGATGTTTAAACTGAAGTTTGAGCTGACTTTGTTTATGTACCTCTGAAGTTCAGCCTCGTCAGGTGTTATTTTACTTGTGTGTCATCCTGCACCTGTAGGTGTTTGACATGGAGCTCGGCGAGGAGTTTTACCTTCCTCAGAACAAGAAGGAGAGCCGGCAGATTGCTCAGGAGCTCTCTGACCTCGTCATTTACTGCCAGGCTGTAAAGTTCCCTGGTAGAGTATCTTGATTCCTTTTGTCCCCCCTAAAAGAAACTTTTTCATTTCTTTTTATTTCTCCTATAAAATTTACAGTACTAAACATTTTCATTTTTTTGTACCTTCATCTAGTTTTTTTTTTTTTTTTTTTCATATAAAGAGGGACGTAGTCCAGTTACAGTAGTCCCTCGCTACGTCGTGGTTCATTTTTCACGGACTCGCTCTATCACAGTTTTTCAAAGTAAAATTGGACATGACACACACTTGGCTGATTGATGGATGAGCCGCACGATCGGCATGGCTTTTTTATTTTAAATAAATCATTTAAAATGATTTAGCAACAACGCAGCCCACAGCTATCCTCCTGCAGCTGATCAGCTGATCTCCACTCTGCACAGAGATCAGCTGTGCAGAGCGAAGAAGTGGGCGAGGCCAAGTGCACAGCTGGAGGCAGAGAGCTGAAATCATGACATTCTGTGCTCTTTTTAGAGCGTTTAGAGTTTAGAAACATTGTTTAGAATATTTCAAGAGTGTGGGAAGGGTTTAAAATGCCTATATGTAGGATATATATGTAAATATATAAACAAACTTCTACTTACTACTTGTACTACTATTCCTACTTCGCAGTTTTTCACTTATCGTGGGGGTTCAGGGTACGGATCCCCTGTTATAAAGGAGGGACTACTGTATATCTTAATTCCCATACCCAGTTATAGATCATTTCAGTTTAATCCCTGCTTTTTCCTCCTTTGCTCCACTTTTCTCCACTCCCATGTTCTATTTAAACGGCTCATAGGTCCCTTATGGTTTTAAATGAATTTAATTAAAAAGGCCCTCATGTCCCTGTATAGCACTTCTTTTCTGTCCCACCCAGAACACCCACAGAGACCATAACTGTTCGCCTCCCCATGGGAAAGATATGGCTACATAATTGCACTTAAATGTACTAAACAACACAATTGGTTTTACTGTGCAGTACAAAATGAAGCTTTTCTGGGTTTTATTGTAGTAAAAATAAATCAAAGTCTTTAATGAAATGGCACTCTCCACTTGTACCCACTATTAGGCTTAAGAGTTAACTTCCGATCTTTGAGTATGATCTTAATTCATCATTCCAATTTTCAAAACACTCAACTTTTTCCCTTTACACAGAGAATTTCTATCATCTTCAGTAGAAGCTGTCTTCATTCTTTGTTGCAGCTTATCTCAAATATATCTCTTTGTCCCTTATAAACTCTTCCCTCTGTTTGTCTCCTTGTTTCTTTAAATGGCATGTGTGTGGTATTTTTATTTGTGTACAGTTCCCAGAAAGGGAGATCAGAGTTAGGAGAAGCAGGGTGATTGTCCCAGTTCAGGGAAGCAGCACTCCAGTCACTGTTTCTGTTGTTCTGATCAATATCAGATGGTCAGGAAGCTTGCACCCCCCTGTGTGCAAACATTGAAATCATCGTAAAAATGTTTATCATTTTTTTTAAACCCTATGGATTAATTTTTAATAAATATTTTTAGCTGAACCTTTTTGTTTTTCAATTAAAAAATATCATAAAATCATATAAATGAAAAGGTCCTGATATTTTTAGCCACATTGCAGCATTAACCAACTGTCATTAGCTTTAATTGCTATTAACTTCTGCTACATTTTCTGTTATCTTTTATTATTTTTGGCAATTTATCTGTTACTCTATACAGAATTAATTAGAATTAAATTTTTGATTTAAAAAAAGAAAATAAACAGAACAATAAAAAGCTGGGCTTACTCTTAAGGAAAAACAAATGTACAGTATATTAAGTAGTGAATGCACCATACTGTATATGTTGCCTCTAGTTTACTATTAATGACCGTTCTCTTCTTTTTCTCATGTGTGGGAACTCAGGCTTGTCTACATTGTCTCCAACTGGCTCTAGTAGAGGAAAGGATCGAGGAAAGAGCAGAAAGTCTATATTTGGCACAGCTCCATCTCGCTGCACCACAACGGGGGAGCTGATGGCTCAGAGCCGAGCTCCAGGGAAAGGTAAGCAAGTCCCAAAGGTGCTGAGTGTGTCCATGCTTAAAGAATTCACTAAAGCAAGATGATAAAAACTGGAGAATTTGTATTTCCTGTGCTGTAAAACAGCTGAAATGAACTAAAAACCTTCTGAAATGTAGCTGAAAGGGAAGAACAAGCCCAAATTAGCAGAAGAAAGCAGAAAGAACACATCTTTGCTGAATTAGGTTTAAATAAGCAGAAATTAGCACAAAAAATTGTAAATTAGCTAAAAACCAACTGAAATTAGTAAAAAAAAAATGGCTGAAGTTAAAAAAAACAATAGTAGCTGAAATCACTTGCAGAAATAAGCTGAAATGAGCGTAAAAAGGTGAAATTAGTAGAAATAAGTTAATTAGGCTGAAAGTAGCAGAAATTACCACAAAAAAGCTTGAACTTATCAGAAAACAGTTAAAATTACCTAAAAAAAAAATCCCTAAAAGGTAGAACAAGGTTAAATTACCCGAAGAAAGCAGAAAGAATACATTTGCCCAGTTAAGCTGAAAGAAGCAGAAATAAGCACAAAGAAGTGGAAATTATCTGGAAAAAAGCTGAAATTAGCAACAACAACAACAAATAAACAGCTGAAAAGTAGCTAAAAAGCAGAAAGAAGCTTAAATTACCAGACGGAAGTGGAGAGAGGACATTTTTTCTTAATTAGGCTGAAAAAAGTTGAAATGAGTGCAAAAAATGTGGAATTAGACAGAAAAACTAAAGTTATCTTAAAAACAGTTAAATAGTGGCTGAAATAGCAGAAAAAGCTGAAATACATAAATGAGCTGAAAAGAGCAGAAAGAAGTTAGAAGAAGCACAAAAAAGTTGTTAGTAGAAAGAATCTCAAGGGATCACAAAACAGCTGAAAAAACTGCGAAAGTAGCTGAAAAAATTTAAATTTGCACAAGGAAGCTGAAAAAAGCTGAAGCAGAACAAAATGTGAAAGGAGCAGTGAAAGGTTGGAAACAGATCTAAAGATATGAAGGATGGAAAATGAGCTCAATTCATTTTCTATGAGAAAAAAGTCAGACAAGGCTAAATGTTTCAAAAAGCTAAAGTAGCACCAATACCAAAAGTCATTGCACCCTTCTCCTGAACAAGCTGAACGTTTTGAAATATGATTTGTTGAAATAGCACAAAAATTGTGGAACGAGAAAGATGCTGAAAACATGCAGAAAACAAATGGATCACAACAGTGTGAATGCTTCATAAACCAATAAATAAAACCTTGTACTATAATTTTGCTGCATCAGTAATAAAATCCTACTTAGAAGTTCACGTAAATTAATTTAAGACGCTGATGGAGATGCTGTTTTCCTTAGGTGGCTCCGAGCGCCTCAGCTGGGAGGAACAACAAACATCCCCTGTTCTCAACGCCCCCACATCACTCAGCGCCATCATCCGCACGCCAAAGTGCTACCACATCTCCTCCGTCAACGAGAACGCTGCTAAACGCTTGTGCCGGCGCTACTCTCAAAAACTGATCCAGCACACGGTGTGCCAGCTGCTCCGAACTTACCCAGCAGCCACCAGGATCGACTCAACCAATCCCAACCCGCTGCTGTTCTGGCTGCATGGAATCCAGCTGGTGGCCCTCAACTATCAGACTGATGGTGAGGACACTGACCCTTCTTTCTCTTCACATTAACAGAAGGCTTTTTACTCATTCCTTTTAATATTAATTTTTTTTTAAAGCACACATACTATAGACAAAATATTAAACGGACAAATTAGCTTTTTTTTTCTTCATAATTTTGATACTGGATACAATTTTTTTTTAAATTTCCAACTAAATTAAATTTTAAATTTGTTGACTGCCTTTAAGATGAACATGATGTTCCTGTAAAACTGTGAGCCCCAAGATTTTACACCGTTTGGTTTTTCAATTTCTATAAAAGTCTGGTAATTACCGTATTTATGGGGTTATATGTCGCTCCGGAGTATAGGTTGCATCAGTCAAAAAATGCCTCATGAAGAGAAAAAAAAAAACATATGCCGCATTTATTATACGTCGCTGCTGACTCCTTGCATCTGGGAAACGTGGGCCGGTCTCTGTCCTGGTCAGCAGCCGTTGCGGGGGTGAGGGGGCCCTGTCCCTCCAGACACAGCGGGGAGGAAGGGCGCAGCAAGGCTCGTGTTCTGCAGCCCCGGGAAGCGGCAAGGATTTTCTTTTTGGGGGCATTTTGCATGTGTTAAGTTTTTCTCAGTTGTCTCTGAGTGAATGTTTTTTTTGGGGGGGTGTTAGCGGTAGAGGAACAACATATAATTGTCAACAGCCTAGAGGGCCCATTCGCAGCTGCAAATGGTAATGTTTATTCTTTAGTTCATGTCAGTATGAATGAACATTTAACGTTTCAGTCAAAAATTGCATCATAAATAGGGAAAAAAAACATATACAAGTCACTTCGGACTAAAAGTTGCAGAACTGGCCCAACTATGAAAAAAAGAGCGACTTATAGTCCGGAAAATACGGTATGCATCTTTTGCCACTTTATTTTGTTTTTGCCCTTCTCTCTCTTATTCAGGCTTTCTTCTTTTTATTTATTTTTTACTTTTTTCTATCATTCAACCTCAGAAACTCTTTGACATCAATGCTCACTCTGTATTTTCTTATTTAATCCTTTATTTTACCACGAGAAACTCATTGGGATTAAAATATGATTTACAAGAGAGCGCAGCGCCTGAGTGACAAGTTTGATGTTTTCTGTGAAAGTTGTATCTTTAAAAATGTCACCAACTCTCAAATCATTATCAGTTATTTTTCTTATATTTTACTCTCTTTTTTGCCCCCACGTTTTCTTTGTATACCCCCTACTTTTAAGATGAAGAATAATTTTTCTCCTAGTCAAAGTTGATCAATGTAAACAAAAGGAAAAGTTGAACAATAGTTATTTTTCACGTTTGTTTTGCTTGTATGAAACCAAACCCACTCTGTTGGTCAACACCAGCAAGTGGTCTAAAACTAAAGTAAGTACATATTGTATGGATAATGCTGCAGATACTTATCAGTTAAAATAAAAGTCCTACTTATGGCTGTTTTGTCCAATATGATTACAGAAATGAGCAATAAGACTGGAATCTGTTATCACCCCATTTGTTTATCCAGATCAGACTGGTTTTATGAAAGAGAAACACATAATCCAACCAGATAATAAAGCTTTCTGCAGCTTGATTTGAAGGGGTGATTGGCCTTTTCTCTTTCTCTTCACCTCATTAAAAATGGTATTGTGTATATTCTACCTGAAGTGAAAGCTTTATTTATCTTGTTTGTATTTGTTCTAACTAATAGAATAGATTAGCTGCAATAATTAGACAGAATGGCAATAACAGAAGCAATTCTGTTCTGCAATTCTATTTTATTTTATTGTAAATTAGTCTATATGCCGATGACACAATGCTGTTCCCCAAACTCCATTTTTAAATATAATTTTAATTTTACTAGCTTTAGTTGATCTAACATAAACAAACAGTTTAGGTATGCTTGTCTCAGTAATGAGAGATATTTGTAAAAAAAAAAAAAAAAAAATCCTATCTGCAATGTTTAGTGTTATTAACAAAAATTCTTCAGATCAGTATTAAGTTCTCTGTATTTTTTCTCTTCTCTGCAGATCTGCCTATGCAGCTGAACACAGCATTGTTTGAGGCCAACGGGGGCTGTGGCTATGTGCTGAAGCCTGCAGTGCTTTGGGACCGTAGCTGTCCACTTTACCAGCAGTTCTGTCCGAATGAAAGAGATCTGGAGAAAATGAGTCCTGCTGTGTATTCTCTCACTGTGAGTTAGAGCGTCTGTCAGAACGACCACTTCACTTCATTCTTGGTCATTTTATGTTTATTTTTCTTTGATGTTGTAGTATAAAAAAGACAACATTTTATTTTTTTTTGTTAATAATTTCATATATGAACATTGGTGCTTTCTGTGGCTAACTTCTGTGATCTAATTAATTGATTTAATGTCCAGTAACATATTAAAACCAAGTCTTCTCTGCAAGTTTAGTTGATGCTTAATGTGATTGGGGCTCAGTAATCTTACATTATTCTGTGAATGATTATGAAGCATTCATACTATTGTGATCCATTTTACTTCTGTACATTGTATGGCGTGATTCCCATCCCACAGTTTTCAAGCTTTTTCAACAAATCATATATCAAAATGTTCACCTCTTTCCTGCTTTGACTTTTGGTATTGGTGCAACTTTAGCTTTTTGAAAAATTTAGCCTTTTCTGCCGTTTTGTTTTTTTTCCCCATAGGAAATGAATTGAGCTCATTTTACATCCTTTAGATCTGTTTACAACCTTTCACTGCTCCTTTCACATTTTGTTCTGCTTCAGCTTCTTTCAGATTCCTTGTCCAAATTAATTTTTTTTCCAGCTACTTTCAGCTGTTTTGCATTCCTTTCAGATTCTTTCTGCTAAGTACAACATACAAAAATGTTAGAAGAAGCACAAAAGCTTCTTCTAACTTCTTGCTGCTAATTTCAGCTTCTGCTCCTTTCATCTTTTGCTACTATTTCAGCTACTATTCAGCTGTTTTATGCCAATTTTAGCTTTTTTTTTGGCTAATTCCACATTTTTTGCACTCATTTAAACTTTTTGCAGCCTAATTTAGCAAAAAATTGTGCTCTCCACTTACTTCTGGTAATTTAAATTCTGCTTTTTTAGCTACTTTTCAGCTGTTTTTTTTGCTAATTTCAGCTTTTTTCAGATAATTTTCACTTTTTTGTTTTCATTTCTGCTTCTTTCAGCCTAATTTGGCAAACATGTGTTATTTCTGCTCTCTTCTGCTAATTTAAGCGTGTTCTTCCTGAACTTTTTTAAAAACATTTTCTTTCTAATTTTGGCTGTTTTCAGGTAAATTTTAGTTTTTCGTGATAATTTATGCTAATTTCAGCCTAATTAACCTCTTTCTGCTATTTTCAGCTTGTTATGCTCCTTTCAGTTTTTTTTAGCTAGATTCAGCTTTTTCTGCTATTTCAGCTACTATTTAGCTGTTTTTATGCAAATTTGAGCCTTTTCAGCTAATTCCACATTTTTTAGCTCATTTCAGCTCCTTCAACTTCCTCCTTGTAGGTTAAGCTTCTTTCTGCCTTTTCGGCTACTTTTTAGATGTTTTTTTTCTTCTAATTTTAGCATTCTTAGCTGATTTCTTAAGTTTTGTGCACATTTTTGCTTATTTAAACCTAATTTAGCAAATATGTGTTCTTTTTACTTTTTTCTGCTAATTTAGGCATGTTATTCCATTTCAGCTACATTTCAGCATGTTTTTAGCTAATTTCAGCTGGTTTTTTTTAGCATGTTCTTCAGCAAAAAGCATTCACAATGCATTTTCGCAGGAAATGCAATTTCTCTAATTTATTATTATTTTCTCTCAGATTGTTTCTGGTCAGAACGTTTGTCCGGCCAGCAGCTCCGGCAGTCCTTGCATCGAGGTAGATGTTCTGGGTATGCCGGCCGACAGCTGTCACTTTCGTACCAAACCCATCCACCGCAACACCCTCAACCCCATGTGGAGCGAGCGCTTTCAGTTCACTGTGCATTTCGAAGAGATGTGTTTCCTGCGATTTGCTGTAGTGGAGAACAACAGCTCCCAGATCACTGCTCAGAGAACTCTGCTTCTGAAGGCCCTCAAACCAGGTTGGAGTCGGACGCTGCCCTAATGATAACATGACAGATGAACTTTTACTGAAATTCAGTCCAGTTATATTTGTTGTGGTGTATTCCAGGTTACAGACATGTTCAGTTGAGGACGCAGCACAATGAACCTCTTGAAGTGTCCAGCTTGTTCATCTATAGCCACAGAAAAGAGGAAGGTCCTGCAGGGGGCGCAACTCCTTCATCTTTGGTAAGACACTCAGGTCTGGTGCTGATAGCAGGGATTCTAACAAGGCCTGATCGGTTAAGTGCACTTGTAGAACTTCAAAGCCTTCGTAATGACACATCCTCATTAAAGTTTAAAATGTGATAAACTTCAGTCCGAGAACGTTCAAAGAAATGTTGCCGGCCCAGTCAGCAGCATCAAAACTTTCTGTGCTTTTTGCTTTATCATGCTCTTTGAGGAGAATGTCTACTAAAGCAGAAATGTCATATCAGGATGTTTCAAACCAACCTGCTGCCTCGTACGTCTCCTTCCTACACAGCTTTTCAGCTCAGAGGAGAAACATGCTTCTCAGCAACACAGAGTGACAGTCCATGGAGCTCCTGGTCCTGAGCCCTTCAGGGTTTTCTCCGTTACAGAGCAGACCACTGCCAAACAGCTGCTGGACATGGTTAGTGCTTGAGAAATAAAGCTGGATTATGCTGCTACAGCCCAAGGAAAAGAAAGTCCTACTTGATTATTTTTTATGAAGAATTTACACACGTCATACTATCATGCATGTTTGACTGTGCTCCTCCACAGGTTGTGGTGTCAGCAGGAAACCCATCAGATTACTATTTGTGTGAGGAGAAGGTCCCCTTGTTGAAGGAGCGCAGCGACGTAAAGCGCTGTGCTCACCATCGACCGTTAGCGCCTGAAGAAGAGGTGGTCAGGCTCGTGTGCAGCTGGGACACCGAGGAGGGATATGTGGGGAAGATCTTCCTCAAAACAAGAGACGAGGTTCGAAGGGAATAAACAAACGTACAACCTAAATATTAAAATGAAGAGCATGCAGAGCTTTGCTCCGTCATGCCTGTGATCTGTGCTCTGGCTCCCTCTTGTGGTTGTCCTGAACAAGTGAGCATTGAAGTACTTTTAATATTTTGTGGTTTAATTGTTGCAGAACTTCAATGAGAAAATCACAGTCCTGGAGAGGGAGGAGGAGACGACTGTGGGAGGGAAAGATGGAGGAGGAGGAGAGGATGATATGTTCTTTGTCCAGGTCCATGAAGTCTCACCAGAACAGCCTCACACGGTGATCAAGGCCCCGCGGTACAGCACTGCTCAGGACATCATACAGCAGGTAAGTCACCATCCAAATCATAAAGCTGCTCGGAGCACTCAATTCAAAAAGTACTAAATGCAATATTTTATACAAATAAACTACTTTACACTTTTGTTTTGTATTTTTGGGCCTAGACCCTTTCTAAGGCGAAGTATTCCTTCAGTATCCTGACCAATCCCAACCCATGTGACTACATGCTGGTGGAGGAAGTTACCCGGGATGCCGGGTCTAAGAAGTCCTTCACCACCAAGACCCTTCAGCGGGCGCTGCTGGACCACGAGTGTGTTTACCAAGCTCAGAACCGCTGGCGGGGCGTGGGAAAGTTCATTCTTAAATTCAAAGAGCAGGTAGCTGTAAACCTATTTACCGTACTGAAGACCCGAGTTTCACTAAATGGTTTTTGTCATGACCTTTAGACTGTTTTTGTTCTTCCGCTGTTGTTGCTGTGCGAGGAAAATTGCACCGCAGAGTTTGTACTTGTGGTTTTGCTTGTACTAATAACAGATAAATCACTCAGTAAGACGTTCTGTATGCAGAAACGTGCTGTTCATGCTCATTAACTTGTAACATTCATAATGCTTGCATCTTTTATGCCCCTTTCCCTGCTGCTGCTTCAATCTTTGCTGTTCTGTGTTTGGTTTTGTGATTTCCCCTGCAGAATAATTGGGCTCGTAAACTGTGTTTTGTATTCTTTATTCATCCTTCCTTTGCTTCTGGGAATATTCGTTGTGCAACCTTGGAAATAAAAAGCTCAATTCACCTGCGTGTCTGAACAAAAATAAACTAAGTTCTGTTTAATGTGGTTTTAAACATTAAGAGCATGCATCTCGCACAAAACATTTTACTCATCTATTTGCATTCACAACTAGGAAGATGAATGTAAGCACGAGGTCACAATTTTCCATTAAATTTCTTCATTTTTTACCGTGAATCCACCTCTCGTTCCAGGTGGTGCGAGAGGACAAAAAGAAAGTAATTTCCTTTGCCAGCGAGTTAAAAAAGCTGACGAGCCGCAGCCGCAGCATGACCACTGGCGCCGGCGTGGACGGCCCGGCTCAGAGTAAGGAGGAGCGAGCTGCATGCTGCGTGGCTCTGACGGAGCTCCAGGAGTGAGGCTTTGCCTGCTGTCTGTGCATGGAAAGACAACAGAGGTACCGTATGTTGCCTCTAACCTCTAACACCACAGGAGAGAGCTCGAACAAGTCCCCGTCCATTCCAACAAAAGTTTCACGTTGTTAGGATTTGTCATGTGAGTCTTAGGTGGGAAGATCTGCTCATCAAGGATATTTGGCCGTTTGTAGCCAGTTCAAACCGCTTCACAGCTGCCGTAAAATAAAATCCTGATCAGAAACTACTGTGCTGGAGCTGATCAATAAGTTGTAACCAGGCCCAGCAGGGCTCGGCTTCTTTTTAAACTTGTAAGTTTTCATGTATTGGTCAAATCTGTGTGACGCGCCGCAGACCTCTGATTGATCAGTTCCACTCCTCACCGCTTCACAACTCACATGTTAGACAGCTAAGGACTAAATATCATCCTGCACTAACTTGTCCAACTGAAATGTACTTGTTTATGAATCGATCCACATTTAGATTTTCACGTCCTCACACGAGGTTCAGAAGGTCTCTATGAGAAGTTTCACAAACATCGACTAAAGTCAACTCATTCATTTAAAGATGTGAAGTTAGCAGAAACTTTCCTAGAAAGAATTGAACCAGTTTGCATGTTCATACTGTGACTGAAAAATACATTTTTATATCTCAGCGTGACCGCTCCTGTCATTTTACTGTGATTATTGGCTTTGTTGTCATTTTTGTAGTATTTTTGTTGGCAAAACCACACAGTAAGAGTGGAGGATTAAACAGAAAAGCATTAACTGACATTCGAAGAGGTCCACTATTATATTTAAAAATGTTTGCAAACTTGTTTTTGTTAAATCGACGTATTTTAGCCACATTTTGTACAAAAGTAATTATCCTACCAGATCTGGATGTATTTTAAGAAGCGAATCTTACTTAGTTTTTTGGCTAGTTGGATGTGAAACAAAAATAATTTTCAATTTTAGTGTGTGGAAAAGTGACGATCTGCTGACAAAGTGACATACTGGCACACACCCCCCCCCCCCCCCACTGCCATATTTTGAAACTAAAGCTCTGTTTGACACTAACACAATGTTTTGTGTGTAGATGTTGTGTAACGGTTAATTGATGCCGTGCGTTCAGATAGTTTAAACCCAACATTTCGTTACGTTTGCTTTGCAGTGAAGCAACAAGGCGTTTGTTTTGGTTGTCGGCTGCTGTGTCCTTTTAATATTTGTTCATCCGTGCGAGATGTTTGTTTCAATGTTACATCCAGCTGTTTCCTCTGCAGGGTGTCTGTCTGCAGCTGCAAGTCTGAAGGTGTGGGTGGCAGAGGGCAGGGTGGGGGCTGGAAGGTTCCTCCAGGCCTCCTCCTTTAACCTCCTCCAACCCGTCCATCTTCCCACCTGCTCTCTGACCCTCCGAGCCTGGAAGCTTCACCTCCTCAGGAACTGGAAGATCCACAAATGAGTTTTAAGCGGGAGCGGTTCGCCTCCACTGTTAGAGCTACTTTCTGCGAAGGACTGAGGAGCAGCGAGCGTTTGAGGAAGACTCTCGACGTGTCGAAGGAGTCGGATCCTGCTTGGTGTTAGTTTAGCAACTAAAGGACGTGGGTCAGTGTGAGTCCTGTGAAGCTGTGTGGAGTTCAGTAAACAGGGTAAACCCAGCCAGTGACGGCAGTGAGCTCCTTTTCCTCTTGGTTTATTGTTAATATTGTGGCTCCTCTGTAAAAGAAAGCAGAGAGAGATCAATTTTAATAAACTCTTCGAGAGGATGGGACTCGTCTCTCTTCCTCTGGTGATTTACGACATGAAGGGAGCAGACAAGCGGGCTTGTTTGCTTCTTTTCTTGCCGTTTCAGTTTCACGGTACTGTAAGGACGCAGTTAGAGGCAGAGCGTGAAAACTTTCCACTTCAGTCATTCTCTTAATGGAAGCTCCGCGGCTTCTCGTGGCTCCTCGAACACTACGAGCCGTAAAAAGTCACGAGATAAAAAAGCGGCGTTTAAAACAGCCTCTGTCACAAATGTTGATTAAGTTGGGCCATGTTGCAAAAAAAAAAGTTGCAAATCCACCTCTTTGTTTTGGCCTTGACTTTCAGGAGGATTTGTTCTGTTACACAAAGTGTCTCTGTGCTTTAAATCTGACGTTTTAGTAAAAACACAAAGGACCAACAAGATGTTTAAACTATGGCCCAATCAGAACATTCAATTTCTTCAACCATCCCCTCTGGTATGTGGATGCATCTTGTTTATAAGATATGAGCTGCAGAAAAACAGTTAATAATTTCATCTTTTGCTTTCAGCAGTGATGAGTTTGTCTCTCGGGTCCTTTGTGAGAACAGCATCATTTTCTCCAAACATCATTTTGCACATTTTCTTGTTGTTTGATGGTCAAAAGTGTTCTTTATTTTATTTTTTTCTGTCTTCCTATGAATTTTTTTTTTGTTCCAGTTGTGAATACAGTCCAGGAAAAAAAAAAGAAAGGCATAACATACAATTTATTATTATTACTATTATTTTGTAATCTATAATCATTTGAGCCCAGTTCCCAAAGTTTTCATCAGTTTTCAACCTAAACTTGAGTTTTTCTGGGTTATTTTGACCTTTTTTATCATTTGCTTTCACATATTTGACAAAACACTGATAATATTAACTTTATTTCTTTCTTACAGAATGGTGTTTT